TTGCTGTAGCAGCAGCCTTCCCCATAACCTTTTAGAGCATGGGTTCACAACCCGTGGGTGGCAACCCCTTTGGGGAGGTCAAAGGACCCTTTCGTAGGGGCCACCTATTATATACCCCACATACCAGATCATTACATTACAGACATGAAGTAGCAATGAAAATAATTTTATGGTTGGGGGTCACCACAACATGAAGAGCTGTATTAAAGGGTTGCAGCATCAGGAAGGTTGAGAACCACTGCTTTAGGTCAAGGACACAGCCACAGGGCCACTAGAGAAGTCTATTCTAGAAGCAAAGGAGCAGTTGGGGGGCACTTCCAGAACCGAGGAGGAAGTGTCCCCTTTTGCAAATGGGCAGCATTGTGGTGTCACGTTTTATGCCAATGTGAAATGGATTAGTGGTTTGTGTTGTGCACACACACATGTGTGCATGTGTGTGTGGAGGTTAGAGACTGACTTCTCTTATTACTCTTGACATTGATTTTTTCAGACAGTGTTGCTCACTGCGCCTAGAGCTCTTTGTTTCGCTGGACTGCTTGCCCGGCAAACCCTGCCTCCACCTTCTCCACACTGGCATGATTGGCTCATAACACTGCACCCAGCGTCTTACATGGGTGCTGGAAATCTGAACTCAGGTCCTTGTGTTTGTGTTAGGAAGGGTCGCAAGCTCTTCACTGGCAAAGTTAAGATCCATTTGTCCTTCTCAGTGTACCACCATGCTTCCTTAAGGAAGTCAGTCATACATACATCGTAAGCCTGTTGGACAGGCATTGACTTCCTGCTGTAACTTCAGCAAGCGGCATCATCTGCTGAATACCTCATAAAGACCTCTAGAGAGTGAGGCTCTGAGCTGTGACTCAGGCGTTGCCATGGAAGGATGCTGAATTTGCAGATGAGACTGATGGAGGGTGGAAAACTATCTCAGAATTATGGATTACAGGGGCCTCTGTTTATTAGTCTTCCGGGACTTTATTTCCACTTTGTAGGGGAAAATGGTGTTCTGATTTAGCTTGGGGTATGGAAAGCTGTGAGCATGGCTAACAACAAGAAAGAGCAGGGAAATCTAAGAGGTGGTGGGGTTTCTTGAGCCAGTTAAATGGAGCAAGGCAACCAGGTAAGCTTCCTCCTGAAGGATGCTGCCCGATATGGCACGGTGGTGTCCGCCATGGCCAGGAAATCACATGGCATGGTGGTGTCCGCCATGGCAGACATAGCACCATCATGGCGAATACGAAAGACCACAGCTGAGTATGGGCTATGCACCCACCAGCTTAGAGCTTCAGAGTTGCTAATATAGGGAGTCCCCATTTGTCTCCAGATCTGATCTGTAGTTCATCTCCAGTAGACTTGACTGTGTGGGCAAGGGGCAGGAAAAGGTCGGGTCTGAAAGAACACCCCACTCCCGCCCCGGGGACAGGAGGCATGGGCTTCCATCCAGCGCCCAAATATTCTCTCACAAGATGCAAAACAGAATCTGTTGGGTGAGGAGAGAAAGACCTACTCGGAGGTTGTAAATATTAAAGACAGCCACTCTGGTTGAGATCGGGGAGACCTCCCTGTTGCAGCTGTTTAGGAAAAGGCAACAGAGACTTAACTACAGAGACTGAAGGAGAGGTAGAAGCCAAGTACCACCCACTGCTTAGACAGTCAGGGGACCTGGCGTGCATGTCCTGAGCTGAAGAAGAGAAGACAGCTTCCCTAGGGAAAGCTGGGGGCCCCTGTCTCCCAGACCCCCTCCACTAAGGCTAACTGTGCCTTCCCTGGTGTCCCAAGTCTTCAAGACCTCCTCCATTATGAAGGATGGGCAAGGAACCAGGGAGCCCCAGAAAAGACCGCCGTCATATTCGTCATCAGATGACAGGATAGGCCGGGCCTTGACAAAGCTGCACTTGTGGCAGTGACTTTGGAAACCCCACAGCAAGAACAGGAGACTTGAGGTGTCCCTGGAAGGATCTGACACTGTGCCCAGGCAGGGCAGCTGGAACAATCTAGCGAGACTAAGAAGTTTGGCAAGGTTGCTGGATGTAAGGTGAATATAGGAAAGTCAGTTATGTTTATAAAGATAACAAAAGTTTGAACCTAAAATAACATCTAATAATACCCAATGTTACCAAAACAATAAGTATAAAATATGTACAAGTTTTGCCGACTGAAAACTACAAAACAATGTTGAGGGAGAAAATAATTCTTCATAAAGGATACTCATGGACTGACAGATGGCTCAAAGGGCCAAGGCACTTGCTTCATTATCTGAGTCTGATCCTTGGATCAAATTGTAGAAAGGAAACATTCCCATAAGTGGTCTCCTGATTTCTGCATGTATGCCATTGTGCATGCACGTGAACGCGCGCGTGCACACACACACACCGAACAAAAAAGAGCAACAACAAAAAACCAAGGCAATAAAAACTTGGAGCCTGAAACATTGAGCCTGCCAGAAGAAAACATAGGCACTACCCTACAGCATAAAGGACTCTCGGATTGGACTGCACTCAGGGGTTAAGGACAATAGTTGACAAACAGGACCTCAAATAACTAAAAAGCTTTTGTGAAGCCAAGAAAGCAGTCAACTGAGTGAAATGGAAGCCTACAGAATGGGAGAGAATCTTTGCCAGCTATCTGTCTGACAGGAGATTACTATTTAGAATATATAAAGAAGTCAGGAAAATAAATTATCCAGTTAAAGAATGGGCTGTGGATCTGGACAGAGGGAAAAAAGAAAGGAAGGATGGAAGAGTGGTTAAGAAATGTGTCAGAAAGTGGAGAACGTCTTCAGCAATCAGGAAGATGCTTGGGAGGAGGGACGATCAACCTAGCAGCTGACAATCAGTTCTGCTGAGGTTGAGGGAAAGGAGAGTCCTCATTCTCTGTTGGGATTGAAAGCATCTGTGGCCACTCTGGATAGTCTTTGTTTTTAAGTTCTCAAGTCAGAATTCAGAAAGCTCACAGGTGCAGGTACTGCCTTTTCAGAGAGATCCCAAGACCCCATGTACCACAAGTCAAGACCACAGTGTGTCTTCTCACAGGCGTGTCCAAATGAATCTTGATGTTATGTGTAGTGCAAAGGGCCTGGCATAGCCACAACTTTGTAAAGCAAGGACATAGTGGGCAAAGCCGTACTGAGCATGTTGAGGTCGTTCATAGAGATTTAGTAATTAAGACGGTTTGCTGTTGGCTTGAAAATGAACACATCAGCTAATGGAAAAAACAAGAAGAGACTCCCCCCCCCCCCACTTTGTGGTCAGTTGATTTTTACACAGACATCAGGGTATTCCACTACGGAAAGAACCATCTTTTCAACAGATGGTGTTTGAGCAACTGGATACTTGTTTTTTAAAAAATGAATGATGAAACAAATAGGAAAGGAAGAATTTAAAGTTGTTCGCAGACGTCAAGAGACCCCAAAGGCCTCAGGAAGCTCCTAGAGCTAACAAACGCTTTCAGCAAAGAGGTGGGTTACAACATTAACATACTGTGTTGCCTCTCTATGACCAATGACAAATAGACTGAGAAGGAAATCAGATGAACAGTCCCATTCACAATAGAAAACAAAACAAATCCACACAACCCACAAAAATACACAGGCCTAACACTGAAGGATTTGAAGAAAATACTAGGAGAGGGAGAGACTGACTGCCCATGTGCATGGATTGGTAGGGTTAATACTGTGAAAATGGCCATCTACCAAAATCAATCTACAGATTCAATGCAGTCTCATACAAATCCCAATGCAATTCTTCACAGAAATTGAAAAAAAAAAAATCTTAAAATTCACATGGAAGCACAGTGAAAGCAACCCTGAATGGTAAAAACTGTGCTGGAGGAATTGCTATTCTTAATTTAAAATTACTGCAAAGTTAGTTGTGAAACAGACATGGCGTTGGCGCAGAAACAGGCACGTTGACCAGTGGAGTAGAATTGAGGACCTGTATATAAATGCACTCGCCCGCAGCCACCTGAATTATATGTACAAAGATGCCAAAAATACATTAGAAAAAAATGCCATAGTTCCCAGTGTTGGGAAAACCGGATATCTCCATATAGAAAAGTAAAACTTGATCCCCCGCAAGTCAGTTCCAAATGGGTCAAAAGTCTCAACATTAGGTCTGAAACCCTGAAACGTCAAGGAATACGCTTAAGAATATCTGCTCATGCAGACTTCCGGAGGAGGACTCTGACCACCCAGGAAATGGGACCAACGGTCATCAAGTGGAACTTTATGAAATTAATAAGCTTCTGCTTTGCAAGGGGACCAGATAAGTGACTCAGGAGGCTGCCTACACACTGGGAGAGAAGTTTGCCAGCCATACATGCATCTGACAGAGGACTGATGTCTAGGATGTACAAGGACCGTAAAACTAAGTATCAGCAAAGCAAACAACTCCACTACAAACTGGGCTGTTGAGCTGAATAGAGAGTTCTCAGAAGAAGGAATGCATCCATTGTTATCCATCAAGGAAACACAAACTGAAACTACTCGGAGACTTTATCATATCCCAGGCAGAATGGTTAAGGGTTAAAAAAAAAAAAAACAAAAAAAACAAAAAAAGATGGAAAATGCTGGCAGGGCCTGGGGGATGGGGAACACCACATACTGCTGGTGGGAATGCAAACTGGTGTGGCCACTGTGAATGTCCGTGTGACAGACCCTCAGAAAACTAGAAACAGAACTTCTGGAAACAGAACTTAGGTGTGATCCACCCATACTACTTCTGGCTCAAAGGACATTATCTCCTACTGCAGAGATACCTGCTTATCCATATTAACCGATGTTCTATTCACAGTAGCCAGGACGTGGGAGCAGAGTAGATGTCCACCAACTGATGAACGGATAATGAAAATATGTATCTCTACACAGTGGAATTTGTTGGGTGGTGGATGGGTTGGAGAAGTAGCTTTACTTGATTTTTGTTTGCCTTGATAATCTGGTAATGCTGCCAGCAGAGATATTGAACTAAATAATAGGAAAACCAGTATTTAAAGTAGAAATTTAAAAAAAAAGTATATGGAAGAGAATGACCATAGGTCTCATGTTTATGTAGGATTGTTGCCTTCTGCAGACAAGAGATATTTTCTTGTTTGCCTACACGGTTGGCTCAGCAGCTTCCATCACAATAGAATTTTATTCAGCTGTACAGAAAGATGCAATTAGTAGGTGAACCAATAGAATCAGAAAACATAATAACGAGTGATGTAATTCAGACTTAGACAGATGGTATATGTCCTCATTCGTATAAGGATCTCTAGTATCAAATATTTAGGTTTGAATGCTTGACTTTGAATGCTTGTAGAGTACAGAGGGGCCATTGATGGGGAGGGAAAGACATTTTAAGGGAGAACACAGATGGTGCTTGCATCTCTAACATTTCAAGAAATGCAAATTAAAAACACAATGAAATTGTATTGCATGGCTCCTGCAGTGGCTAATATGGGTATTAAATGCTGACAAGGCATGGTATGCTAAACCCTACTTCATGATTGGTAAGAATGCAAAATGGCGCAGCTACTTTAGAAAACAATTGGGAAGCATTTTATAAAGGCAGACATCCACTTACCTTGAACCTGATAATTCCGCTCTTAGATACTGACCTAAAATGTATATCCACCAGATGCCTCCATGAGGACATTTATAGTAGTTTGGCTCAACGCTCACACAGCAGAGACAGCTCAAATGCCCATCAGCTCATGCAAAGGCAGACGTTGTATTCCACCTCTACAAATGAAAGACCCAGCCAAAGGTATATGCAACATGCGGGCATCTCAACAGTAGCAGCGGAAGGTAGAGGAGCCAGTCAGTCCCGCCACCACCACAAAGCGGGCATTCTATCAGGGAGGTCCAGGCTGCAGAAGGACACACTGGCCATAGACGCACAGAAAGAACATCTCACTGTGGTTATGTGACTGTGTGAATTTTTTAAAGTTCACTGATGCTAGGAATACAGTTTGTGAAGTGTTTGCCTGGAATGCACAAGGCCCTGCGTTTTGTTCCCAGAGCTGCATAAATTGGGGGTGGTGACCCACACCCGTGATGTGATCTTACCAGTCAAGATGCAAGATGCAGGGGGAAGAAATTGAAAGTCACCCTTAGCTATATTGCAGGTTGGAGGGCAGCCTGGGATACAGGAGACTATTAAAGACGCTTATTGATATGAACTGTCTTGTAGGCATAGATAAACAAGATCTCAAAAACTATGACCTTTAGGAAGCTACAGTTCCAAGGACTCTACCCCCCCCACACACACACAAACACCATGAATTATGGTTGTGAGGCCATGCCAGCAGTCAGCTAAACACCTTCACAAAGTAAGCACCCACTCTGTTCGCCATTGTGATTCTTTGTGGCCTTTAAAAAAATTAATTTATTTATTAAATAAACAATTATATATACAATGTTCTGTCTGCATGTATGCCTTCAGGCCAGAAGAGGGTGCTAGCTCTCATCACAGATTATTGTGAGCTACCATGTGGTTGCTGGGAATTGAACTCAGGACCTCCAGAAGAGCAGCCAGTGCCCTTAACCTCTGAGCCATCTCTACAGCCCTTATTTGTGTTCTTATGGGAGAAAAAGTGCTAAACACTTTAATATGAGAATTGGAAATAAAATTTGGCCCTTAAGGTATTGTGGGTAAAGTCTTGACTCAACGATTCTTGAACACTTACTTTGTTTCGTTGTGTAGGCTTAAAAACCATAAACCACATTAACAGATTATCTCAGTGTTTTACAATTTCTATAGATTCAAACTGTTTCCCCTTCGCAGCTCATGTAAGTGACATTAGACATCAAAACTTAACAGTTATCAACAAGTTGTCAGCTTTTCTGGAGCTCACGGTGTTTGGTTCTCACACTGTGAACACCCACACGTCGGTAGCTCTCTTCTCAAGAGATGGATGTAGGAAACTGTCTCAGAGGGAGCTCAGTTTCTCTCATCATCATGGACCTGGCAATTGGGTTTCTGCTTCTAAGCCAGTGGACTCTGGAGACGCCGTGTGCATGTGTTCAGGGGCAGCAGATAACGCAGCAGGGAGATGTGTTGCCTGGGGTTCCAAGCCTGGGCCCTGGGCTTCTCCAGGATGTGTTCACACTGGATAAGAACTCTGGCTCAGCCTCTGGCATCTGTTGCCTCAGGTGAATCCAGCAATGTTGACTGGGATCCCTACCTGGCTCTGCCACAAGCTGTGATATTCTGCCCAGCATCCCATAACAGAACTGTTAAGTTTCTCATCATCTCTCTTGCAGTATCCTCCCTGTAACTGGAGACAGTATCAGGGCAGAGCTGGAGATGCAGCTTGGTATGGTAGAATGCTTGCCTTAAAAGGTCCTGATTCCACAGCCGGTGCTAGCAAACACACACACACACACACACACACACACACACACACAAGGAAGAAGGGGAGTGGGAGTGAGAGAGGCAGAGATAAGGGAGGGGGAAAGGGAGGGGGAAGGGAGGGAGGAGAAGAGAGGGGAGAGAGAGAGAGGGAGAGGGAGGGAGAGGGAGGTTCCGTGGAGAGCTCTGCAGGAGTCTGGAGGGCATAGTTCATATGGGACCCTGAGATGGCCGACTTAATCCAGGACTCAGTTTTTTTAAGTTGCAGAAAAGTAGATTTAAAAAGAAAAAAAAAATCCTCAGTGAAAGCCCACTTAAGATTTGCAGTAGGCAAATTGTACTTACCTGTGAACAGGAGGGTAGGTAATGGATCTGTGAGCCAGCTCTGCAGGTCAGCTGAGGAAAAGGCCAGAACCTCCTCAGGCCCATGAGCCAGGCAATGCTCGATGCCCGAGAGGCTGGGTTGCCACACCTGCCCTTCTGGAGGGTTGTGTGCGGAAATATGGATGTCTGTGTCCACAGAACAAAGAGAAAGCTATAGTGAGTTTTAGATATCAAAAAGATCCATTGACTCGGAGTTTATTCGGAAGCTGAAGACAAAAACATGGAAAATTTATATCCTGTGCTCCTGTTAACCCAGCCACTTAATAAAACTTACGCTTTCCCCCCCAGTAGCTTAAAATACCCATTGGCCTAGAAAACTTGCCAAAAGAGAACATCTATTTATGCCCAGTGTTTTTAACAACTAATTGGTGTGTGTGGCTCAATTCAGTTTTTCAGACTGGCTTATTCCAATTTTCTTTACTTCTCACAATTGTTGGTGTGAAAGGCAGGGCCTTAGGGGGCAGCCAGGAAATGGACGGCGTTGGGGAAAGGCTTTTAAGCATGATTAAGGCCCGAGGATGGGGCCTCATGGGTAGGATTGGTGACCTTCTGGAAGTGGCCCAGAGAGATGCCTGACTTTTCAATCATGTGAGAGCACACAGTGTCCCATATGTGATCTGGAAAGGGACCCATGCCCTGCACCAGTCCTGGAAGCACCTTGTGACCTCCAGCCTCCAGAACTTTGAGACATAATGTGTTCATAAAGGGCTATCCAGTCCTCCAGACCATACCCAAACACCCTCAGGAAGTCTTCGGGAATCAAGGACAGGTCATATCAGATGAAGTTGGCCTGGCCATAAGGCTTTCCATTAAAGACATTATCTATAAGTAAGGGCTTAAATTCCTTTAGCCTTCAGCTCTCAGATGCAGAGATACGGATACATTCCATGCCCTTGTTTGCAGGGCTTATCTCCTTTCCTCCTGTACCCCAACTGTCCATGTGTGACTTCAGCCCTGGCTTCTTGTCCTTGCCTTGAGATGGGTATGGATATTCAAGCAGCTGGCTTTTAAACAAAAAGGCTCTTGGCATCTTTGTCCGTGGAGAGAGCACTAAGTAAGATACTGCTTCAGATACTGCTCCAGGGTTAGAAGCTGAGTGTGTTCCTGTCCCACTCAAGGCCATACAGGAGGGAAGGAAGAGTCTTGAGTGGGCTCTATTCCTCACCAAGGAAGCTGGCATGCAGGTCTGGGGAGCCACACTGTTTGGATCAGTACCCATGGGCTGGGTTCACCATGGCAGCAGGTGAAGCCAGAATACAGCATATTTTGGCTTTTTAGCTATATTGATATGATTTCCAAAAGGCATGAATGCATGCATACACATGCACACACAAAAGCATTTACAAACAGGTAAAAAAGATTGAACTCAAGTTCATTCACAGTAACATTTGTTTCATTTTAAGTGAAAATGGCCACAGAGAAGTCCCCTATTAATGTAATCTGGGGTTCCCAGACTGGATAAGCAACACAGCCTTCGAATCACAACATGTAGAATGGGCTGTTGCGGGCTTCTGTGGTCCTTGCTCCAGAGAACTGTAACAGGTCGAATGCTAGTTTTGGTTCATACCACAACGTTGCCATCATCCACACACAGACCCACAGGCTTTGTTTAATTCATCTGCCTTGGAGTACATGTGTAAGGCTGTCTCCTGGATGTGGAAGCATGTGCACACAGATCTACATGAACACAAACAAGACCATGAATGCAAATATATAAACACACACACAAGCTTGTGAAACACTTGCAGTGCACAAAAAAATGACACCTTAAAAATACCACCAAGTGTTAAGTCTTCAGATTCCTGGTTGTTTGGGTTTTACGTTTACTTTGAATCAGGATCTAAGTGCGGGTCATTTACAGTCGTGGGCTACATGTATAACTGTGGTTTCTTAGACTATACTGGGGCTGGAAATGCCATCTTGTATTTTTAAGCTACGTGTAGATACACCAATAATTCTATAGGACTGCGGTTGCCACAGTGATGTGCTGCTGGCCGAGTCTTCTCCATTCATAAACTTCTTCCAGAGACGTTTATAACTCTCATAAGAAAAACTCAAACCCAAGAGCTCTAGAGTTTGTGGTGAAATACATTTTTTATGGTTCCTTCTGGGAAAAAAACATAAGCTCTGATAATGTGTTATCTGCATCCATTCATTCACGTAGAAGTACTTGTCCAGCCCGTGTGTGTCAGGCATGGCTTCAGGGCGGACAAATTCGTGTTCTCTTGCTGCTTTCCTAGTGAGCTGAAACAGGTGTATGGGCAAACACAGGGTAGAAACAGCTGTGTGGAATGAGCGTGATTCACTCTTACTGTGACTTCTTTGTGTCTGCCTCGTAGAGCTGCCCCAGGGTCTTCACAGGGGAAGCCCGTGTTTCTGGGGCTGGAAGTAAAAAGCTTGAT